CTGGGCTTGCTGGGAGCACTCCAGGAGCACAGAAGCCAAGCTGCAATGTGACACACTTCTTTTTCTTTAACATTTTATTTTATTTGGAAGTTACAAAAACAGAGAGAGAGATGGAGAAGGATCTTTCTTCTGCTGGTTCACTCCCCAAATGGCTGCAGTAGCTGGGGTGGGGTCAGACAGGAGCCAGGAGTCCAAACTCCATCAGGCTAACCACATGGATGGCTGGGGCCAAGCACTGGACAGGGCTTATGTCCCAGGTGCAGTAGCAGGGAGCTGGACAGGAAGTGTATGTGACCTGGCTCCCCAATACAGGATGTCATCATTGTAGGTAGTGACTTACTTCAGTGCGCCATGATGCTGGCCCCAAAGTGAAGCGTTTCTTACAAGCCAACCTGGTCATTGCCAGAGATCGCAGAGGACAGGCATCTGCACTTTTGAGACCTTAATAATTCACTATGATTTTTCTCATTTCGAATGATCCACTTTGTGGGCTTTCCTTTCTTCTCCTTCCCCAAACCCAAATGCCAACCCTTGCCAGAGATGGGTACAGTTTTAGCCTTGACTTCTGCCCCATATTCTGTCCTGGTCAGATGTGTTGAAGCTACCCAAGTCTCCTTTATAGGGTGGCAAGCACCATCACATCAGAGGCACCCTGACTACATTTAGTCAGGTGCAAGGGTTTGGTGAAGTTAGTACAGGCTGCAGCAATAACCTGCTGCAGCAATAACCTGCAGATAACCTGCTTACACTGAGCAATGGCTTGATGTCTTGCCGGGGTAAAAATAAAAAGCCAAGTATGGGTAACATATTTTTTGTGGCCTGTTATAGATTTAAACCTTTGATTTGCAGGTGTGATTTTAAAATAATTTTTCTTCACAATGTATGCATGGCTGCCCTCAGCAAAGAACAACCAAAGACCAGAAGCCTTGGTAGGCTGCAGCACCACAGATGTCCTAAAGGAAGTGGAGAAAAATCAGTATCCACTCCAGTGATTCCTTGTCCTTAAGAATCCTCAGGGGAATCAGACCATCTGAAATAGAAACTCTGCTATTTTTCATACACAATTGCAAATCAGGAAGTTGCCAGACTTCAGCAGGTCGAGTCTTCCTAGAAAATAGACCTAGTACTTCTGTATATTTTACGTTCTGGGAAAAGATATAGCCTGAGTCCTTTCAGCTTTTCCCTTCCCGAAGGACCTTGGAAGCCACTTGTTGATATTCTGGCCTCACGCAGCTAGAGCGGTGCACAGATGGTTGCAATCGGCCCACACCTCACTTCTTTGGGTGTCACCACTAGTATTAACTGAATGGATGCGACACGCCACCCAGTCAACCATGCTGGACCTTGCTAGGTTTATTTGCCATTCAAAGCAACGAACGGGTACACCCAGTAAAGAGGGCTGGGTGGGGCTACTTAGGATCTTACATTCCTCTATTGGGCAGTAAATGCCAAACCCAAAAATTATGCATCAACTTAAAAGAAAACCACCACATGCTGGCTGAATTCAGGGCTCAGTGAACGTCATGTGAACACACACAACACTCCTTCCCTTCCTATGGCCCACTGCTTTTTAACAGGTGGAAAAAGCAAAGGTGCAAGGGCATGTTAGGAAGACTCAGAACAAAATGCATATACACAGGCTAAAAAATGCAGGTGGCATGGAACATGACTACAACCTGTTTCAGGGGCGTTTATTCAAATTCACACATTAGTCGCACTGAGCCACTCCTTCTATCAGTAGAATCCCAAATGGCTCTGCCAAACCAGGTGGGTTATTCTGCAGCTGCTGTAAGGAACCACCAGGTTGATCCTTTATTGGCCGATGGGCTTGAAAGGAATACATATAGGCTACAACCATGTTACTGAGGGTGGGGGATGACTAATAGAAAGCAAATAAAGCTGAGGAGACTTGTTAAGTGAGGAGAAAGATTTCAAAGAATTCTCCCTCTCCCAGAAGGAAAGAGGAAAAAAAAAAAAGTAATATGGACCTATTCCTGCTATGCCAGGAAAAAGAGCTGTATGCTTCCGGTTTCAAGGCGGAGCAGGCAGTCACAGATGAGGCTGCAGCTGTCTGCTGAGCGGTCTTCTGGTCCCACCTCCACTGCTCCTAGGGTTCATCAGGTGCCCTAAGCACCGTCTGGCACAGGAATCCCCATCCTCTTCATGCATGAGCACAGCAGTCTTTGTGCTACTGTCTGGTTGTAGTCTCTGCTAAGTGGGCATACAGCTCTAACAGACTACCTTGGAAGCCAGGGTTGGAGTGGGCGTGGAAAGCACCTGCCTCCCACATCAGAGCAGGTGCATTGGATTTCCAGCTCCAGTTCCTGATTCCAGTTTCCTGCTAATGCATACTACGGGGGCAGTGATACAGTTGGTTTTCTGTCACTCCACTCCCATGGGAAAACTCCTACTCTGACCTTGAGCTTGGCCTAGCCCCGACTTGGAGAAACAAACAATGCTGTCTTCTCAAATAAACACACTAAACGATTTTTTTTAAAGTGTGGAGAACGTGACTTAAAACGATACATATAATTAAATGTCAATTACTTATTTGAGGTTAACAAATGGGTAAGTTAAAGCAATCATTTGGTAGGCCCTAGCTGTTGCAAAGGAATGAAATAGCTCTGGCAAATGACTTTCAGGCAGGGGGCTTCAAAGTGCTAATGTTATACACAATCCTAATGAAAACATAAATCAATTTCTCAATCCATCAAGTACAAGGATTTACTGAGCAACTGCTATAGGTTTTTATAGGTTACCCTGTGCTCTAATTTTATTTTATGTCTCAGGTACTGTTTGATCTTTAGGAACTTGTAACAAAGATTGCCTATATTTCTGTTAAAAGATTTAGAAATATACAGTTTTTTAAGGCAGCTAATTCATTCATTAAGGATTTAGCCAACTTTTTTCCCCCTATGATTACAATACTTTATTCTTTTGAAGTGAGGATAACATCTTTCTTTTAAGGAACAGATCCACTGTAAAACAATTTTTAATTTATCCATAAATAGTATTAATGACATAACATTGCCAGGCAATTACTACTAGCCCATCTCAGTTTCTGCAAGACTCAAATGAGATTCTTATGTGACTTTACTTAAAAGAATGTAAATTATGTATATTCAGATAATTTGTATGTCTCTCTCCCTCTCTATATGCTATTTTTATTATGAACCTGAGTAGATCACAAGTAATACAATTGTTCTCAAATATACAAACTTCTAATTCCATTTGCCTGTTTTCTTGAAACTTGAATACCACTTTGTTGGGTTCCAAATGCCACAACTCAGCTGCCATGCCCTGGGTTTTTAGTACCATCAGTGTGTAGTATTTCATGCAACCCGCATAACCACCTGGGAAAGTGGGCGGGCTCTACATCTACGGTGAGATCAGAGCCCCAGTAAGACCAGTGACTAGATAATTATCAGTAAAGGAACCTCAGCACAGGCCTGTGTGCCTGCAAAAGCCATGAGCTGTCTACTCATTGATGTTCTGAAGGTTGGTGTTTTCCACAACATTATTGTTAAACTTCATCTATAAGACACGAAGAGTCAAGCAGTTTCAAGAACTACCACATTGAAGTACAATTTCCCCTTGACAGTTCAGCTGCTAGTTTGAATGGCTCAGGGTTGTGTCTGTCTGATCTGAAGCAGGCAGCCAGGGTTCTGACCCCTGCAATTAGCTTAATGTCATTTTTGCTTTGATTGTGTAAAAGATACGTTGGTTTCCATTTTTATTTCTCTGAGAAGCAGAGACAGAGTGAGCTCCTACCTGCTGGTTTTCTCCCCAAATGCATGATCAAGCATAAGCCAGGGGCTGGCATTCAACCCAGGTCTCCCAATTGGGTGGCAGGAACCCCATGACTTGAGCCATTGCTGCTGGCTCCAAGGGTACGCGCTGATTGGAGGAACCTGGAGTCGGGAGCTGAAAGTAGGATTCAAACGCAGCCACTCGGATGTGACATGTGCGTGTCTTCAACGCTCGGCTAGTTGTCCATAGCCAGCCTTGCCTTTACTAGGCTGTGATCCATCACTCCTTTAGCCTGCCACTTTCCTCTGTTGTTACGGAGGCCTGTAATCTGCCACGGACCAGTAGAAAAGGCAGTGGTTCTCAAAGTTGAGCAGCTGCCACTCACTTGGTAGGCTAGTTTAAATGCAGATTCTTGGTCCTGCTCCCAAGCTTTCCGATTTTAGTAGTGCTGGAGGAGGGAGGCCTTCAATTTGCTGCCCCATGAATAAACAACACATACTTTATCACTGTGAGAAATGTATTCTCTACAGAGAGCCCATTTTAACTAGCTTTTAATTCTCATCTACAGCGTGGATGGCTGATATACTATGTTTATGTGTGTATAGATACCCACACACATACATATGTATTTGAGGTATCAGACTTAGAAGAACTACAACATTTTAGTACCTGAACTTTCTGCTCCCTGATCAAGCACTAAATATACTCACATTATTTAAAAATATTTGCTTAAATACCATGCACATGGTGGTCAATGTCCTTCCCAACCTTGGTGTGTCAAAATTTCTTCACAGATACTATGGACACAGGTTCTGGAAACATGGGTTGGAATCTGAATTATCTGATTGTCACCGGGTTCACAAATTACCCAACAAGTCATTTTTATTCATCTCTAGAATGAAGACCCCGCTACCTACTTGTAAGGGGCTGCGGGAGTTAGAGGTAAAATGCCTGGTAAACACACGCTATGCAGTCAGCACTCTAAAAAGAGCTCGGTAAATGCATCCCCCCTTCTGGCTGTTATTATCACAGAAATTTTGTACTTTCTGATTCTTCTCAGGAGGTGAGATCTGCTGTGGCTGTCTTTTATTTCTTGCTTTGGCTGTGTCCAGTGGGGTCCAAAATGTTGATTCCTTACGTCACTGTACAGGGAAACCATGCAAGGAAACCGTGGCTTTACTCTCTTAACCGAGACAAATCTTGGGACATTTCAGAGGGGACCATGACCTCCGTGGAAGAAACAGGCAGACTAACATGAAAAAACACATTTTATTGCACTTAAGTTATAAGAAAATAAAATTTCTAAGTGAATCAAACCATAGACACAATCCCTTTAAAGGTCGTTCTCCTCCATCATGTCAGGTTGTTACATAACTAAAATTAACCAGCTTGAATCTGATTGTTTTAAATCAGACTATAAATAAAACAAAACAAAACAAAAAATAAACAGGAGGAGGGAAAAAAAAAGATCGCCTAAGATACAGTGTTAAACCACTTTCACAGTTCAGCTTGAGTTGTGGCTCTTGGAGAATGAGGCAAACCATCCGACTTTTTCATTCATTTCTCATGTTTGCATGTGACGCCCTTACTACAAAAACGGAGTCGTTTCTGCTTTGTCAGTTATACAGAGCAACAAAACTGTAACAGTTGTTTTCCCAAATACTGTAAAACGCTAAGACTGACCAGCAACTTTATTTTCATTTTGTGTTTTATATATTTTTAAAATATTTTTTGTCAGTTTTACTTTGTACGTTCATCCATTCACCACAGCCCTCAAAAAGAAAAATTTCCCCACAGAACAGGCGGTAACAGCTCTGTCCCAAGGAATGTGTAATTTTTGCCCGGATAAAAGAAAATAAGCTTTGCACACACTCTCAATTCTTTACTTGCAGGCAAACTTCACTCTTTATTATCTGAAACTCTTCCATTCTCAGCCTCTTAGAGGCACAGATGGTTCAAGTTTCAGCGGCAAAAAAGTCTTTTTTTTTTTTTTCTGTAACCAAACTAGAGCAAATTTGGAATTCAGTCTGGGACTAAAACGTCACAGCAGAAAAAAAATAAAAAAAAATAATTTGCTTCTTCTTCTTTTTTTTTTTTCTTTCTTTCATTTAGCAGCATAAATAAGTTTGGCCACTGGGAGTACAGTACAGGGGCGGGACAACAATCCCATATTTGAAGACCTACTTCTAGCACCAGCATCCAGAATTCAATCCAACTCGGGACTCACAGAACCCAGGACAACTTGCCACCTTTGAGCAACACAGGAATCGAAGAGTGTATATGGAAGCAATAGGAAAGAGAGGAACAGAGGCTAATACTGTGATTGATTGACATTGGCAATGGTTGGCAAAAAAAAAAAAAAAAAAAAAAAAGAGCTTTTCATGATAACTGTACAAAAAAAAATTCACAGTAATTTTTTCCTTTTTTTTTTTTTTAAGCTTTTCCACTCCAGAAAAATTCCTTTTTGTTGCAGATGCTCTCTAATTAGAAAGTCAACCAGTACTCATTCATTCGGATGTTATTGCAGCTCCTTTCCTAGCTGTCAGTGGTAAAAGAACAGGCCAGCGGGATCAGCGATGATGTTTCAGCAGTCACACTGCCCAAGGACCACTGGAGAAGAAAATAAAGAAATAATTGCACCTGGTTTGATTTAGAAGGTCTCATTCGCAAAGCTGCCCTCAGTCCAGAGTGACGCGTGTCCACGCTGACACAGCAGGCGGCTCTCATTACTCACGCCTTGTCCCTTCCTCTTCACCGTCTTTGTCTGTAGGTCTTGCCAATCTGTTGTCCCAAGCCAACATCCTGCACCACTGAGAACAAGGGATTTTTTTTTTCTTTTTTTCATTTCTTCTTTCTTCTTCTTTTTTTTTTTTCCAGGGGGGAAGGGTAGGGAGTATATTGTCTACACATTTGGACAAATTCATCTTTCTTGTTCTTCATTTCATGTCCACGTCAAAGTCCAGCACCAGCAGCTTGGTCTCCTCTGTCCCATTCCGACTCCCGACTGCGCACACCAGTTTGGTGTTGGAGGCTCGGATCCGCCACACAACTCCCCCGCTCCCCCCACTCTCCAATGTGACAAGGTTGCGAATAAATTCACCCGTTTTCAAGTCCCATAGTTTTACAGTTCCGTCATCTGAGCTGGTAATTACAAAGTTCTTGTTGAACTGTAAACAGGTCACAGCGCTCTGATGCTTGTTGGGACCTAGGCAAAAACCACAAGGGATTTAAGGACTGGTTAGAAAGCATGCGTGGGTTAGTGACACTGTCATCGGCAGACGGCTACATTAGAAAACACAGTAAATGCAACATCTAAAATGCTGCATATTTAGAAACTTTGTTCTGAGTATTTTAGGATCAGCATGGATGTAAGAAAATCTGGTAGCTATTTATAACTGAAGGCTTAACTTTCAAGAGTTTTGTCTTCCAGGAAGCTTGGTCAGCTACCAGGCACACATTTAATTTTCTGGTTGATTCAATGAGAGCTTTCCCTGTCCAGGATATGGGCCATACAGCTCCATACATGCCACTGATGGACAAGGGGGCAGACAGGACCTCCTTCCCCGTCACTCCGAACTGACTGAAGGTAAAAGCTGAATGAATGGACACTAAACCTCACTCTTGGAGAAAGACACAATTCAGTGAAGGAAAAAACTGGCATGAGGCAAACCCACCGGCTACGCTCCCAGAAAATATATTAGTTCAAGGAGCATGGTTAACGAAAAAGTTAATTACGAAGGCCAACATTCTTGTACCCTATCTAATAGCATAGATTTTCATGTTTTCCTTGTCTATTTTAGCAGGCACCATTAGCCTTTTCCAACCCAGATAAGTGAGTAGCTAAACAGAGGCCAAAGCAAGGTTCTATCGTAGATGCTTTACTCTGTCCAACAAAGTAGCCTTTTAAAAGTCAGATACAAAATGAGCACCACTCCAGGTACTGTGAATATATTGTTTCTCTGAGACAGCAGGATTTTCATCTCACTGTTGCATAACTCAGACAAAGTCAACAGAACATTCATTGAGGACGTGTTAGATTTTTATATTCAAAACACAACTTACAGCATGTGTTTGGGTAAGTCAGAGTGAAAAGGCTCACACTCTTCTTGGGAACGTGCGGCGAGTAGGAGGTTAGTTCTCCAGGATGCTGAAGCTCTATTTGTCTGGAGAATGATCTCATGTTTAATTAACATAACTAAGGACAGGCAGTCAATTCTTACCTTGCAATGTTTGTAAACACTGTCCTGTTTTGATATCCCAGATTTTGACTGTAGAATCTGCATTCCCAGAGACGAGGATATTGTCTTTGAGTTCCATCCCACTGGTTAGCGACTGGTGCCCTGTTAGCGTGTGAATGCAGTTCCCGGTCTCCACGTCCCAAACTCGGATGGATGTATCCAGAGATCCACTCACCACGTGGATTCCGTCAAACTACAACAGATATGGGCTGTTAGCATAGAAGCTTGCAGACTCCTCGGATCAGTAAAGGACCCTATTCTTAACAGAAGTCTGTTAATGCCATGAACACAATGAGGATACAGTGGCAACTAAGACAATGTGCTTTTCATTACGCACTCATAGAGTGTTTTCAAACCTTTCTATCAGAAACGCCTTTTTAAGGCCCAGTGGCTTCAACCTAGTTGCTGAAATAAGAAGAAAACAAAACACTTAATGTGACCAAAATATTTTGGGATCATCTGGTCCCACTTATAGCTACACAGATACACTACGGATGATTCAGAGAGATTGTCATTTTAGGTTTACCTTGCTCATAGGAAGTGGAAACTAATGAGAGAGCTTGTGATAAAAGTGGGTGCTTCTCAGCACTGAAGGCATGGAAAAGAATAGAAAAAGCTCTCCTGGTGCACAGAGAAAGTGCCATTAAAAACAGCGTGGCAAATAAAAGTTCCATTTACCATTTACAAAAACCTCATGCTCATTAGGAAATATGCCAAAAAATAATTACATCCAAATTTTAAAAAGTGGCATTTTGGTAACAAAAGTAAGCTACAGAGCTGTTCTCATAGCTTTGTGGCTACATCAAAAGCACGCACACACACACACACACACACACACACACACACACACACACACACACACAGAAATGTGGTTGAAAATTGTATGTTCATTAAGGTTTAAGTATGTTATGAAACATAAAACAGCTGCAATTCCTCCTCTTCTAATTCATCACTCTGTAATTTAACAATCTTTATCAATATTGCATGGGACGGACAGTATCCCACCAATCAGGAAACAAATATCCTAAGAATAAAAATGTCAGTGCTGTAGTTATACATGCATTTTCTGACCATTCACAGGCAGTAATTTGTAAATAAGCTATGTTAAGTGATAGGAAATATTTAAACTGAAAGTGCTATCTTTCAGGGAATGAACAAGTCCCACTTTCTAACCTTGCTATTAGTCTAGTTGATATTTTGAAAAATGACACCTCATTCAAAGCTACCAGGTTCCAATGGACACAGACAAGGTCAGCTTAGTGGAAGTGGCTTCCTTGTGACCATCATCAGGGGCTTGGCACTGCAGAACAGCTCCGTGCAGGAAGGCTCCACCGGCACTTGAAACGGGGACTGAATCACAATTACATGGTCCATCAACTTATAGCTATTAAGGCAAAGGGGCAGCATTTGGCCAAATTAATCCTCTGCTAAGGAGTTTATTAAAACCCAGGTGATTCTCCTATGAGACTATCTAATCATTAATTAATATAACAAAACTTTGAGCTACCAGATCTCAGGTTCTAAGACAAATATTTGTCTTTTACAGGGAAAATGGATCACAGAAAATTGAAGCCACTCAACGATTTAAGTATTTCTTAAAAATTTATGTTTTGATTATCCCCACTTTAATGTAAAGATAAACAGCAGATTAGTCTGATTCATGTTTTGGACTGGACCGGAGCTGATCTGGGTGAAAGCATGTTAGGATTCACGAGCGCAGTGACGAGAGGGGTAAGACCTCTTACCTGTAATGAATAGACTCTGTTCGTGTGCCCCTGCAGCGTGTGTAGACAGGTCTCAGTCTCCGGATCCCACACCTTCACCATGAAATCATAGGCTCCACTAACAACCCTTCTGCCATCGTACTGAACACAGCGGACTGCTGCGACATGACCCATGAGAACATGTAAACACTGGCCTGTCTCAATATCCCAAACCCTAAGAGTTGCGTCTCGAGAACCGCTAACAACACTGCAGCCGGGGAGGAGGACAGAAAACAGAGAAACAAAATATTAGAACTTTTTAACGATGGGACAAACATGCTGGATGAAGCCAGAGGCTTTTCAACTAGTTTTTTCCTTTCTTAATCCTATGTAAAACCTTTTCGTAGAAACATATGATACTGAGTTGCTCTGCTGGGTGTGGGAAGTGTGGAAAGTTGGGAAGCCTAGAATCCCGTCTGCCAGGTTCCTTGACCCCTGACCTTGCTTGGGACCAGTAGCTCAAGGTCTGTAGAACAAAGTTTCTATTGTGTAAGAAGGTAGTCTAACTATATACAGGAAGATCTTGATGTTACCAATAAAATGGCAAGGTGGGAATTTAATATGTATGTGGGAAAATTCTAGCTGGTATCATTTTGAACAGTTTATGTTTTCTTCATTATGCTGTCATTTCGCAAAATTTCAATTATGAACTCACATTAACTGTGTGATTAGGTAAAAATTCAATAAAGATTAATCACTAAAACAAATCAGAATCTACAGTTTAAACAGGGACAGATACATGCTTTATTCATACTATGGTAAAATTAACAAGTTGGGGACATGTACTCAAGAAGATTGTTTACAGCTATACTGTTTAAATATTTAAATATTTATTGGGTCAGGGGACATTAATACACACAGGTCATGAAGCACCTTAAAATTTTGAACCAAATTATTAAAGTATTAATATACTTCTGTGAAGAAAAGCAGAGTGACACAGATCCTTATAATCATTTTTGGATTACAAATCAAAGCTTAAAGCTCTGGTCATTCTTTAAGAAATGCTGCAGTTTCCATGCTTGAAAGAGTAGAAAATTGAAATGCTGAGAGATTTAAGTCAGAACATAACGGGAGCTGAAACACAGAACTGCTTGAGGCTCATCCTCCAAATTTTGGTGGTAGAGCCCAATGCTCAAAGTAGACTCAAATTACAACTGAGAAAGTACTCTTCTGCCTGTATTATAATTCATGTGTGAAATCTGCTTGTTGGAATGGTTCTTAATAAAGAAACGGACAGAGATAAAGTCGGTAGCAGATTCAATGGAAGGACTCTTCAATGACACGCATTTGGATGAACGAAGTAGAAATTACATTTTTAAAACAGGTATACAACAAAGATCTGTCAACAGAAAGACAATCAAGATTTTAACAAGAAGGGCTTTGCAGGAGGACATAATAGCTAAACAGCAAAGATAGTAAGAAGGAAAAGGTAGGTGGCATGGTTTGGCTGAAGCTGTTTTGAAAAGTGGATTGAGGATTCCTTCCTTAGATCAGGAGGTGAGAGAGGGCTCCCAAAGAACAGAGCAGTCATGCAACCATAATTACAGGAGGATTTCCTGTTAGCTATAGAGTATGTAAACATTTGGGTAACAGGTAATGGGAAAATACATTGGAATCTACATGTCTCAGCTTTGGCCTACAGTTAGGAGATCTGATCTAGAGTAGAGGTGGATGTGTAATGACAAAGACTCACAAGCTGGAAGGCTCAATGATGCATTTGTTCTACTTGCTGAAATGAGTATTAAGAAACAGAGAGGGAGAAAATGACTTGGCTTTGGAGACAGTGAGTCATCAAATAGAAAAATAAGGATTACAGAATGGAGAGTTTCAGGGAGGAAGCCCAAAACACTATTAAACAAGAAAACAAGTTGGACGGCAATCTTCCGATTTAAAGTCAATACCCCACTGGCTTTCCTGGTATAGAAACATGTGAAGCCTAATAAAGTCTAACTTAGGAGTACATTACCATATCTCAGCAGTTGCACAGAGAGGCCAAAAACTCTAAAGTAACAGAGAGGAAAAAGTCCGAGCTGTGATGGTAGCTCCCTTACCGTTTTTCATGCAGATGCATACAACGCACAGTGGACGTATGCCCATATAAGGTGTGGATACATTCTCCAGTCTCTGCGTTCCATACTTTGAGGGTCCTATCCGTAGATCCACTGATGATGATGTTGTCCCTCATTTGTGATGACCACACTCCACCTGTATGGCCCACTAATGTTCTCAAACACTGGAAAAATACTTGAGATGATTACTTTGGGGTAGAAAGGAAACTGACTTAAATACCATTTTAACAGCTCATTAAAATTTGCAGTAAAGTTATTTCTTCAACCTGTCTGATTCATCAGAAAATATTTTTTATGACTCAATTTACTGCTTTATTTGCTAGCATTACATCCTCACACACACCCATGAACAAATATGTAGGAGACAAACACATGCAACTTATGATACGACAGAAACCAAACACACGATGTGAAAGTCAACAGTTCCAGCCCGGCCTTGGGTGAAATAACACTACAACTGCAACTTGGTTCTTTCATGGAAATAGTCAATGATAGAATGCCAACAGTGTTGGGTGTGGCCACATACCACATTTCATCTGAATCTGCCCCAAGGCAATAGTTAGGAGCCAGCCAAGCTACTTCTAGACAAGTAAAGACATACATTAAGGCTCTGAAATAAGTCCAAAACTAATATTACACCATGGAAATATGAGGCTGCTGTTAAACATTTAAGCATCTGACTTGGAATATTTATAAGAGTCTAGTCCAAGAAGCAACATGGTGAAGACAAGCATTTTTATTCTTTCTGTCTGTTACTATTTTTTAGCTGGCCAATTACTTAATTCATGGTAACATTCACTAGAGAATCATTAGGGCATGATACTGTATACAACCAAACAGTAAGCTTTATTTTCAAATTCATTTTTAGTGCCTAGTCTGCTTAACTCCCATCTCACAACAGTTTCAGGTAAGTTTAAATTAACATGATTTACTTCTAAGCAACAGGAAGCTCGTCAACAAGGCAGTTATTGAAGAAAAAGTAAAAGTAAATATCCTTCAATTATACCTTTGAAAAACATTGGAAGTAGTGATGTATAACTTAAGAGTGTTAGCAAAGGAGGAAAAAAAACTGAGCCAACAGACAAAGCACATCTAAAAACCTTTAAAATAGTCATAAAAAACACTGCCATGCAAGTCATGCCAACATCACTTCATAAATATGGGTGGGGTGAGAAGAGCTAAGTTAGAATCTTTGATACCTGTTATTAAAACAAGTAAGAATCAAAAACGAATCCTTGCGTTCCTTTTATCATTTGCACCTTACAACAGTGACTTCGTGACATGCAGTAAGGAGTCAGCTTACCTTGCCTGTGACTGCTGACCAAACTTTCAACGTGTTGTCATCAGAACCACTAACTATTCGGTTACCACAAAACTGTAAGCATGTGATCACATGGTCATCGTGTCCTTTCAGCACCTGTAAGATAAACGTATAGATCATAAATACTCTATTAGGTGGTTATGTTCTTTAAGATACTGGTGAAAGGAAAAAGGAAGCTGCAAACAGGAAAAATGATCTAGTCTATTGTAGAATTAAAATGGACATGGAATACAGAGCATCATCCCTTCTGGTGGATGAATCCAGAACTTAACATTTTGTTATTTCCATATTGTATTATTTATACTTGAAACGTTAGCCATTGGTTTTATTCATTAAGGCTTCATAAAGATGGTTCAAACACAAATGTAGCTTATATTCATCAACTCTGCTTAAACCAAAAGAAAATGCATCTAATTCCTGCATTTTTGACACAAAAGAACAAAAGAAACACCTACTAACTAGAAAGATAGGAATAAAAATGATTAGCTTTTTTAATCTAAAGCCAAAAAAATCTATAATGATACATATTATTAGCGTGACAATATTTCCCCCAAATTGCTTCTTTCCAGTGGTAAAAATACAATATTTAAGCATTTTCACAATTTCATATATTTTAAATATTGTACCAGAAGTACATTTCCATTTAAAAATAAAAACATGTGGGACACTTCTCAAAAAAATCATGTTTGGAGTATGACGTCAAAGGGAGGCAGTGAATCTTCAGTAGGATATACTAAAACTCAACAGAATATTTAGATATTTTCACTTGCATAAGGCAGGGATGCAGTTCATCTCATTTTTAAAAGTTCAAGTAGAGTTGGTTATCAGTGTAGAGAAATTAAGTAATATTAGAAATAGCGCTGCTTACACTTTTAGTTAGTTTTAAATACAGTGTTTTCCTTCTACAAGAGATAGACGTTAAGTTCCGAAATGGGAGTGTTCTAGGTGCTAATGCTGATGAATGGCTTCAGTTACCTTAGGAGATTTGAGTTCTCCTCGCCTCCAGTTGGTGTCAATTCTGTGTTGTCTGATGTATGCACTTTTCCATGGACTGTGGATGAAACCTGGTTTTATTACTTTTCTTCTCTTGATGTGCAATGGTTCATCAATCCCTAAATATTAAAAAGTTCAAGAGTATAACTGATTTCACCAATAGTTAAAATTACATTTTATAATGTCTCCAATTTTCCTCAATGCTCACACCATTAAAATGCATTGTCCAATACTGAATACTGTTATTACAATTCGTAAAAATAACATATGGCATATACTTGCATTCACTATTTTATTTCTCAGAAAATGTTGATGAGTATGTAAAGAAAATGAAATACTGATGTTGTTGCTTTTGTGAATGGAAAATAATACAGTCATGAGAAAACACATGGTAGTTCCTTAAAACAAAACAAAACAAAAACCACAGAATTAACACATGGCCTTGCTATTCCACTTCTGGATATATACCTGAAAGAATTTAAATGAGACTCAGATGCTGGCATTCATATTGACAGATGTATCGTTATCTGTCAAAGGGTAGAAATAAGCTAAGTGTGCATTGGCAGATGAAAGGGTAACCAAAATGTGGCTTATACACACAGCAGTGTATCATTCAGCTTTAACAAAAAGAGGGAAATTCTGACCCATGTCGTAGATGAACCACGAGGACAAACTGAGCTAACTAAGCCACTCACAAGGAGACAAATGCGTTACAGTTTCACCTACAGTGGGTAAAGGGAGGAGGAACATGGAGCAGGCATGGCATCTCAGCTAGGGCAGACGCAGGTGGAGACCACTGCACAGCAATGCGCACACACACGACACCACCCAACTGCACACTCAGAAATGGTTAAAATGGCACATTTTGTGTGGCAATGTGAGCAGTTTTTAAGAAGACACCCACAAAGTAATTCTGTGATCCAAAGGAAAAACAGGGCGATTAATCGTACTTTGTGTATATGAACAATTGAGAAGAAGGTTTCACTGATGAATCCTTGCCATGAACCAGGTAGAACCAGGATTAGAAACAAAGTACATGGACTTCCCTCTTCAAGACTTTATCAAGCCAAACTAAACATCAGCCTTCTGTATTTGACAGTAACGGCCGAGATGGGCAGGATCACCCACAGAGCTACCTGCATTACGACCTATGTTCTGATTCTTTCTCACAAGTATTATCTCTCTAAGGCAAATAATATTTTACACATTTTTGTAAAGTCTTGTGTTTTTCTAGACATCTGCTGGAAAGAAAAAGGTTCTCCCTTTAATTAAAATGCACAAAGCTTTCTCCTCTATTGAGAGGCTATCTGAAAACTAGGTGTCAAGAACAGGAGCTCCATGACAGGAAGAAAACGGCAGCTCACCAAGACTCCACCAACACAAGAACAGAGTCCAGCTCACTAGAGGCATTCGATGAGTATTTGTGGAAGGCACAAATAAAACACTGAAGTTTGGTATCTAATTGATATTATAATTTTTGGATTTCCTTTAAATGATTCTCGTCCACTGCCGAACTTTACTAGGTGACTATCCATGATGACCCATTCTTACCCTCTTCTTTGCACTTCTCTCTCCACAGAAGGTTGTCTTCGGCCAGAATTCTCCAGTAGCGACAAGTCTGAGCCGCTTGTAGCAGGTCTTTGGGTTCCAGGAATGAAAGCACATAGAGTGCCAGCTTCGGAAAAGAAGATAAGCATAGTATACCCATAATTTAAAAAGAAGTACAGAAATAATAAGATTATTATTATCCACAGGATAAAATATTTGTGTAGTGTAATTCTATATTAATGATTACCAAAGTTATGAGATAGTATTTTTAATATTTTTTTAAAAAATTTATTTATTTGAAAGGCACAGTGAGAATGAGAGAGTGAGAGAGTATCTTCCATTGCTGGCTCAACCGTCCAACCAGGAGCCGTATTTGGCCTGGTCTCCCACATGGGTGGCCACAGGAACCCACCTGGGCTGTCACTCAGCTTGCACTGAAAGGATGCTGGATTGGAAGGAAAGCAGCCAGAAGTCAAAGCAGCTTTCTGAAATGGGATATGGGTGTGTCTAATGGAGCTTAGCCCGCTGTTCTACAATACCAGCATTTTCAATCTTATACTCTTTTCAAAGAACACCTACTAACTTCTCTCTGTTCTTGTTTCTTCTCTGGGAGTTTCAACTCAATAACTCTACTTTTTTTTTTTTAAACTTGATTACTTGTTTAAATTTGTTTTCTCTACCTGCTACAGGGTAAACTCACCGAATAGTATCTAAATACTTGTCTCATATCCTGAATGATAAGAAAAGAGATTCCAAACATTCTCTGTGGCATGATTTCACATAATTTCTGAGAGGTAGATATCTAAATTAATAATTATTTTCACTTTGAAAGGTTCATAATCACAATGATGAATCTTTGGGACATTTACACCCTTGACTATAAATGACAAAAGGGGACAATTATTAAGTTGTTCCATAGACATATCAGCATAATTGGGTTCTAAGTACTTTATACTGCTTATGGGGATTTTCTTGATGGGTCACACAAAGCTGTAGGCTTTTTGCCAGCCCTTTGATATGGCATTAATTAAAAACTTTTATTTATAGTATCTTTGTATGTGCATAAAGTCAATTTAAATCAACAAACAGAAGAGGAATGGCAGCCTGTGAAAATGCTTACTCAGGTGTGTCACACGTTACCTATGAACTCAATTAACAACATTTGGACAACAGCTCATTTAATCAGAGAAATTAAGTTAGACATGGATTAAAACAAATGATCATTTCAAGGGGCAAGTGTCATGTGGGAAGCGAAAGCACAATTTGAGCTGTTTTTGGCTGCTAAGTAGGAATTACATGGTATAGACTGCTGCTTCCCAATGACTATGTATGGAGTTCAACATCAACCGTATATTCACTGACTACATTCTAAATACAGAGTACTCCAATTAGCTGGTATTCACTTTAATACTAACACTGATGAGTGATACAGAAAAACTTCCTGTAAAATAATTACCTTCTCACTATCAGAAAAAAAAGCACTTGGTATTATGCAGAGAAATGCAGACACTTAAAATAGAAAGGCCTAACTATATCAATAACCCAAGGATATGTATCCATATAAATATGTTAGTACGTATGAATGAACAGATATACCTTTCTCTCAATACTATACTTTTTAATGGATACTCCATAAGTTAGTTAATTATGAAATTAGCTGTCAACCAAAGCCTATGCGAGTTTATATGGTCAAAATAATAGGAATGCAACACAGTCATGATTAATTTCTATGGAATTATAAGTTAATGTAGAAATGATCAGCTACAAAAGATAATTGTGAAAGAGATGCTAGATAATACCTCATATTGGAGAAAAGTGATATTAAAAAACATCTTTCTGTGGTTATCTGACTGATTTAGAAATCAAGTAATTGATACTACATGTTAGAAAATAACAAATCTAGTACAGCTTGGGTTTCCAAAGAACAACCCATATTCAGCAAGTAAAATTCGCTTCCTTAATAATGGCTAAGAGGTCATCTAATCCAATTTCCACATGCATTAGAGAGAAAGGTGAAGAAACATTCAGGTTCTCAAGAAAGTTCAAGGGCTAGCACCACATATGGTACATTTTCCTTTAAAGTAGCAAAAGCCCTAACTTAACCATGAAATTGTCAGATGTTTGTCTATTTCCTTCGAGACATTTTCACATAGGTAATGCAGAACATACACAAAGCAAAACAGAAAAGCATGAATAAAAATGTCAGAACCAGGAGGCATATAAATCAGAAGATTTAAACCAGGGAAAACATAGAACACAAAATGTTCACAACAATGGTTTATGAATTAAACTGCCAAGCAGAAAAAGGGAACAGAAATTGGTTACGTGATTCCTACTGTTGGGGGAAGTATACTAATTCCTCCAGGCGATCTAGGTTTATCATGTAGGGCTCTGGAATGCAGCTAGTATCCAGGTCCCTTCAAATGTGCACACTGAAAGCCTGACCCTCGATGTGACAGAATTAGGAAGTGGGATCTCTGGGGGGAGGTCACTGGGTCACAGAAGTGGAGCGCTCATGCATGGAATAATCTGCCTCTCCTAAGGGAGAACTCAGAGGATGTTCTTGCCCTCTTTCTGCACCTCACATGACAACAAAAAGATGCCAGTCTACATACCCACCAAAAAAAAAAGAAAGAAAAAGAAAAAAGTGGGGGCCCTCACCAGAACCTAATCATGCTGGCAGCCTGTGAGACAGAAATGTGTGTTGTTTAAGCCATGTACCTTTTACAGCAGCCAGAATCGACCAAGACAGATTCTTTATAGGGCTAACAGATTTCTTGCACATTCTGTAACACTAGTAGAAAGTTACAGAGACTCGTATCTTGTAGCCCAGTCAAATGGTCTAGCTAAAAGATTTTCTATTCATGTGGCTTAAAGGCAAACCTATATTAATAATTCTTCTGAAAGACTATTCTGCCTTCAACAGACAGAAACTCTTACACTGAAAATCTATTTTGGATAATCATACCTTTTCCTTGCCAAGTTCATACTTTCAGTGAGAGTTGCCGTTTTTCTTTCTCTATAACCTATCCGTAAAGGCTGCCATTCTGCAGAAGGTGGCTAACACTCACCCAGAATTGCTAGAGTTGAATGGACTGGACTAATCAAGGGGGAAGAAAATGATCAGAAAAAAGAAAATGTTGGCTGATTCTAATGCTAATTTTAAGTTTTGCCGTAGATCACTATAATTTTCTGGACATTTAACTATAAAAGAAAGATAATGCTACTTATTATGACAAGCCTCCCTTTTGATACTAGTCAGATTTCTGTCAAAGGTTTTGAGATTAAGAAAATGTTGGTAAGAAGCTTTGAAATCTGTTTAATGAAATTCTAAGAAAAGTGTTCCATTTTCCGTCATGAAACTAATAATATTTTAAATAGTGATAGTATTTAGTCTTTACTAAGTTAACACTAATCCCCCTAATTGTTGAAAACAAAGTGAAAATGTAGATACAGATCTGCTAAGCCATTGCACTCATTCCGTCATGTGTCACCACTTTTCTTCCAGCAATCTTTAAAAGAACAACTAAGCCAAGGAAATCTTTATTTTATTGATAATTTATGCTTAGTTTTGTTAGGTTCTTCAACATATGTACACATTCTAACTATAAATTGTGCTTGTGTGTTACTATAGAAAAAGTTACTACAGAAACTCAAAGCAAAGCAAAACAAACAAAAACCCTCATCATTCTGTAGCAATAAGGAGATAAATGCGACTATGAGAACATCTGAATTTTAACAAAAACGCTATTCTGTAAAATAATTTGAAAATAAAAGGCGTGGGGACTCTTTTTTTTTTAAAGAGAGATCTATTTATTGCTTTACCTGAATGGTAGAGAGAGGGAGGGAGGGAAGGAAGGAGAGAGAGAGAGAAAAAGAGAATTTTCCATCCACTGGTTCATTTCCCAGATGCCCCAAAACAGCCAAGACTAAGCCAGACCAATGGCAGGAACTCCATGCAAGTTCTGATTTGGGTGACAGGATTTAAGCACTTGGGTCATCTTCTACTGATTCCCAGCCAAAGCAGCAGGAAGCCAGATTGGAAGCAAAGCAGCTTGGAGTCAGTGGTGTAAACTGACTTAATCCGCTTGTCCCTAACTTGTCAACACTGCTCATTAAATTATTAACGTTCATTGAAAAAAATGAAGCTATGTGGTCGTTAATAATGAGAGTATAAAATTTAAACTGACCCTTATTTATATAATCAAGAATGTTTATACTTCCTTAATCAGTCCATAAGAAAAATTAGTGTTGGTTTGCCTAAACATACAAATGGATAGAAAAAAGCTCTAAAGTGTTGGGAGTTGGTTTGAGTGCTGACTGCTCCACTTTTGATCCAGCTCTCTGCTAATACACCTGAGAGAACAGGGAAGGACAGCCTGAGTGCCTGGCCCCTTGCAGCATGTGGGAGGACCGGAAAGAAGCTCCTGCCTCCTTGCTTAGGACCAGTGCAGCTCTAGCCATTTCAGCCTTTTGGGGTGTTAATCAGTGGACAGACCTCTCTCTCTCTCTGAAACCCTACGTTTCAAATAAATCAGTAAATTTTCAAAAAAGATTTTTGGTCTTGAAGGGATTTAGGATAAACAAAGTAAGGTAAAAAGTACTACTGCCTTCATTAGAATTTTTTCTAAAATCTACTATACTGAGCATATCAAGACAACTAAAGGTTAGGTTACAAGTAACCTGTGAAGATATAATCAAAATAATGAAACTCAATAGTTATTCTCAGATATATCACTTATTCAAGCAGTGTGAAGAAGCTGCACAGTCCATAAGCGTACTTCAATTTGACAATGACATTATTAAGTCATGGTAGATTATAGCAATTCACAGGCCTCTTCACCACTAATTAAGAGTGTTAAATTGACAACACTAAATACCATAATTAGCATGACAATGTGTAAAGGTGGTAGCTCATGAGATATATATGCAAGAGCGCCCCATGAAGAATACAGCTGACACTCCTTACCTCTTTAGGGAGCAACGAAATGAAGTCTCGTTGAAACTGGGGTTCTATCACTTGCATCATATGCTTTACTTGTGTCGGCTCGCAACTATCAATGAGTTCATCCAATGCAAGCAATTTCTCTGGCCCGCTCCAGCTCTATCAAATCATTAAAACATGAGGTTTAACAAGTGTTCCGAATTATAAACTCATAAACGAAAACCCACACCCACACGTACTCCAACTCGAACAAGAATTATATACAAGGTAGCTGTGTATAGTAACATTTTCTCTATAGAAGTCACTAGAGTCTTACCAAATTTACTATTTTTTCTTGTCAAAACTTCTGAGAAACAATGGTTTGGACACAGAAAGTATTTTTTATTACGTGACTATAATAGTTATATGTTCATTTGCCACTCAAGACATTTATCAAGAAACTGAAATTTTATTTGAGAACCTTCAACTTGTGTTACTCCCTGCTGGAATTCTGGTTTGTGATTTTCCTTTCTCTACATTCTTTCCAGTTAATTATGTAAAATTTGACAGGTTTAGTAAGACAGCTATCTAACAGAACATTAGAATCATTTAGATAAAAAATAATTGTATATGTTGAACATTTGAGAAGTGCCTTCCAATAATTAAAAGATTTTTGATCTATTCTATGAAACTATTTTCAGATAAATAAAAAGTAATAAAATACAGAAGCTGAGTAGTAAAATGACAATCTGAACAAAAAGCCAGAGAGGGAAAGAAGTGCTTCACTATAGAAAACCAAAAACGTATAATTATCTTTCAAAAATATACATTCCTCTAAAGATATCTAGGGGATTAACAATAAATTATTTTTTTCCAATGAAGAACACCTGTGTATCAAGCCAAAGAAACCCTAAAACAAGCAAAATATCAGTCTCATAATAATTACACAAAACATTTAAGAATCTCATATTGTTTCTACTTAAGTGAGAGAACATTCATGAACAGGCTTCCATTTCTGCAAATCTATGCTGATCTAAGCAGCTCTTTAAAACATGTCCAATTTGAATGTGGGTAAATAGAGAATAATAGATTTGAGTTTTGGGAGCTACAAACATATGCATTTTGACATTTCATTTCCTTTTCAAACAACTCAGATTTTTTTTAACATGTGACATATATAATATTTGTAAATATTTTTAAAAGCATTTACCCCTTTGGTGCAGAGGACAAAAAAAAAAGCTTCATTCCTTCTATCACATGGTTTTAAAAAACCCTATTAAACATTTCAATAGTATTTCATTACTTTTATTTTTTTCTTTTCTTTTTCTTTTTTTTAATTGTTATTAACATTGTATTATGTGATACAGTTTTATAGGCATACTTTTATAACACAATCCATTTAACCACTGAAAAGGAAAAATACTGGCTTCATCGAGTCCTTTTCTTTTAGCTTACACATACACATACTTGGAATATTCACCCTCAATAATCATCTCGTATCATTTTTGGTCAGAGTGAGAAATTATATATAGATATTAAAAATCCAAATGCATGTGTCTACATACATAGCTTGGAATTTGACTATTCTGTTCCGTTTCCTAAAGAGAACTTAAAGCACTGATTCACAGCTTATCTCTTGGACAACGTGAACAACAGCCACTCATTTCTGATAATTCAACAAAAAACAGCAGAAACTAATTTATTAATTGACATCTTTTACAGGATTTGAGGTCCATTTCCTGTAATAGGTAGTCTCCCTCCACCTCCATCCTAGGAGCATTCATGGACACCAATACAAGAATAGGTCCATCTTGGGTAAAGAAAAACTATGCTGACTCAGAATGCAGCTTTGTAAGGAATTTGGGAACAGAATGTTAATATAAATGTGCTGAGAAAGTTTCCAGAGTGTTAATGGTCACATTTTTGAATGAAAAGATAACCCATATTTCTATAGTAAAAAGACAGTGATAAACCTTTCAATGTATAATTTCCTTACATATATGTGCACGTATTAATTACTTATAAGATACTGACTATATGTGTACTTATTGTTTTCAGTTAATGGATTACTACTGTCTTTGAACAATGAGAAAATGTAAAATATATATATTTATACATAATATATATCAATACATGGCATATTATATATATATGTATATATATATGGCAAATATCCACTAACAGATGTGAAATACCTTTTATCAAAGCTTTTGGAAGTCAGAATATAAAATCTTTAGAAAAGAAGCCAAAACAGAAGATAAATAATCAATTCAGATATTTTGTAAATGCCTAAAACACTGTTGCAAATGTCTAGATATTTAAGACAAAGTCACAACAAAACTATTACTACACAGTAAAATGTCTCCAACAATATTTAGCAATATTTTTCTTTTGTTTTAAAAAACATTTAACAAAAGTCAAATCAGAAGTACATTTCAATTTAAATGACACAGTTGTTACTCTGTGATACTGAGAAGATGATTACGGACAAAGATGAGTACCATAAACTGTAATTACACAGAAAAAAAAATCTATTTCCCTTGATCACACCTATTGAACAGTCTAATTGAAAACTGTGTCTCCTAAGTGAAGGCCTGGACCATCAGAATACCCTTTCCTGCTCCAGCATGGATTTCTGCCCTGAAATCCAACTCTGTATATAAAATTGCCCCCTCAATATTTATTCTTACAGATGCAAGAGAAACATGTCCATAATCTTTCCCTCCAATCTTCCCTTCCATAGCCTTCCCTGTTTCCATAAGATGCAACTATATTCTTCTATTTGCTGGAGGGACAACTCGGGAGGTGTTCCTAGCTCCACTCTCTCCCTACCAGATGGCTCTCCCCTGTGTTTTATAGCCTCCAACTTCAAAAGACATCAGCCTCTGATCATTACTACACTGCTCTAAGCTTCCAGAACCTGTCACCTCGACTTTCCCATAACCTTGTTCTCTGGTTTCTCAGCTTCTTACCTTAGCCATCATCATTCTACTCTCTCAGTGATACTGTTAAAAGTCCAGATCTTCTGGTAGCTTCCTATTTCAGCTAAAATGAAAACCAAAGCCCTCAGATTGGCCTACAGGATTTTAATTTCTTCTCACCTTTTTTCTTTCTCACACTGTTTTTCTGTGCCTCAACACTCTAGGGAAGCTCTTCTTCAAGAGTATTTTCACTTGTTCCCTGGAACATTCTTTCCCTAAATACCCACATGGCTTTCTGTTTTATTATTAGTACCTTCCCTAAGATATTTTCTTGACCAATATTTATTTCTTATTTCAACTTATTTTTTTTAAAAAAGGATGATTTATCTACGTTGAAAGTCAGAGTTACAGAAATCCTCCATCCATGGTTTACTCCCCCGACAGCTGCAACAGTCAGCTGTGCGTCAGGCCAAGCCAGAGCTTCATTCAGGTCCCCTTTGTGGGTGCTAAGGCCCACGTGGAGCAGCCTGCATATGAGCAAATGCCCATGAGATCCTGCTGACATAGGCAGCAGTGACGCCTCAAAGTGGGCCTCTGGACAACATTTCCAAAATTGCCAACCAGTTCCAACCTTTCCATTCCATTTTGTCCTAACTAGAATATAAGTTCCATAAAAGAGATTTTTATGTGTTTTATTTGCAGTTGCGTCCCAGATCCAAAGCCAGGAGTAGAGAGCTCAATTCAGTGGTCAAGATGGAGCGGAAGACATTTGATGTTTTAAATAAGCAGTTCAAAACCAGTGCTTAAGAACCTGTGGTACAGTGAGACGGGTGTTCCTTTGCATCCTAACCAAATGTTGTACTTCATGATGCTGAGTGCTACTGCAGCTAACTTTCATACGGCAAAAAACCATTTCCCATCACTTCCTGCCAATCCGCCCTGTGTGGCCGAATAGCTGTAGAGTATCTACTGGTCCCCATCACACAGTGGGCCAAGCTCTTATCACAAAGCTCACTTTAAGAACAGATTCTAACTCAAAAGAATATGATCTGGATTTATTTTTTGAGATAACAAGAACTCAATCTTCCTGCTTTTGATATACTCAAGACCAACATAACATTTCCTCTTGGTCTTCTATGGATAAATTCATGATTTGCTTAAACTTTTCCATATACAACAAGGTTTCTTGAACATACTATACCAAATATAATTTCAAAGTAAGAACTAAATTCAATCTCTTCTGGCATTACGCTGTAGATTTTAATCTTTTGTTGACTAGCAAATAAGACTTAAACAAAATAAATCAGAAGACATGAACAATTTTTGTGTTACCATGAAACTTGATTAAATCCTTGAATATGTAGTATTTACTCCATTTTGAGTATCAAAGAAGTATTTTGTACCTTATTAATACTTTGAGTATAACAGACTTTCAAAATAGTCACAGCTTTAACACAAATATGCTTTGATTAAAATCACATTTATATAATGCTAAAGCTTTCACATATTTTTATAGCTAGCATCTTTTTAGATCTAAGAAAATCAAGACTCCAAAAGGCGGTTTCTCCATTACATTTCCAAGTACAGCTTTTAAGCACATTTTCATGTGTTCTCTTTTTGACAATAGTTTAGTTATGAGTTTTATTGAGTATGAAAATAAAAGGCAAGAGTAGTTACATAATATCAATACAATTATTCAGTTATTAAGGGGGCAAAGCCCAAATTGGAACCAAGAGCTTGACCTTGTAAGTCAAATGTGCTCTTTCTCTTAGGATATTTCTGAATATAAATTTCAACACACAAAAAAAATTACTGATCTAAAAATTTCAAGTGAGAAACCATGTACTCATTTTCAAATAATATACGTAAATGAAAAAACCTTAGTCTCTCCTAAGCAAAGCAGTAATTTGCAACATCAATCCAGTCACCCAAAAGCTGGAGTCAACAGCTACTCAGAGTTCCTGCTCTTTGTTTTTATCTTTCATTTCCTCTTCAGTTTTGCAGTGGCACTCTGTTTTAATTTTCTTTTATTCAAAAGGGTGTATCATTGGTTCTCACTCAATTTAAAAATGGAGTGCAGAGTACTTTGTCAGAATAGATGGAACTGGACCAAAACAATGCTGTAGCATCGCCTTAGGAGCAACAGAAGAACAGAAAGGGACAAGTTCTCCCATGTTGCCTGTTATGCAACAGAGAAGTCTTCAGAAAATGCCCCACAGCACGGCTACAGAAATCATAGCAGTCTAATTATCCCTCAGCCACACCACTAGGTCAGTCAACTCATGCATCCTCCAACTGACTACAGAATTCCCTCTCCGCAAGTCTGACACTGAAGCAGGTAGGTGTTTAGGCAAGTGATTTGCTTGTGGTGACTCTCTCATCAGGGTGGACAACACAGGGTGGTGTACAAACACCGAGGCCCCGAGAGTGCCAGAATAAAAATGGCTTCCATATGATTAAGCTCCTCATCTACTGGTCTACCCAACCTTTTGTTATTATACATTTCTTTGCTACAGAATATTTATCTTAAAAAACAAAACAATACAGTTGTATACCTGCAGGGGTAATTCTGCATGTTGTTATTGTTAACTAATTTTCTTCACAGTACCTACTTCTCTTATGAAAAAACAAGCAAATGCTTATATTAGGACCAAATGCTGGCCCAACATTTTTTAGTTAATTAAGTCCCAATGTTTTTAAGAAACTAGCTTTATTATTATTATTTACAATTGGGATGCATCAAATAATCTACTGGTGGTTCTAATTTTCCAAAATATAATGGGTAGACCATTTGAACTTTTTGGTGGGTTTGTTTAACTTATTTGAATGGTAGAGAAAGAAAGGAGAAAATGATATTTTCTGCTGGTTTACTCACCACAGGAATTCAGATATTTTATTAAGGAAGGCATGAATTAAGCAAATACAGTACAGAAGATGATCTAAAATTTCTTTCAGGACAAAATAAAGCATAAATGCCTGTTACTATAAATCAAAATTACAGAATTTTCCAGTTTCAAGCTGGGAAATATCTTAAATAGCTTGGTATTCTGAAACTTTAAATAATGGGCCCTAATAGATAAAAAAAAAAAAAATCTTACTTGAACCACCTTCTGAAAACAAGCCTTTCATATAAAACAAACGTTTTGCAGGAAGGGTGTTTACAATGATGACAAAGCAACAACCACAGTGTGGTGGTAAAGCACGCCGTGCTTTCTCCTCACCGTGCTCCAGCAGCTCTGGGCCATCGCTGAGTGCTGTGCGTACCACGTGCATGTGCAGGCATGACAACACACCTTGTCCCCATGGCCTAGGCTTACTCACAGATGACACAGCTTTCAAAGTATTTCTACACAACCATATAAATGTCTGAGATTTATCCTCACCTCTTACTGATGGACAAATTTCTTTTTTTAAAAGGCACAGTAAAACGTAACAATTTTGAATTGTGAGAGAATACATAAGAAAAAAAATCGCCTAAAAATTAAAACAACACGGACCTATGGTGAAAGAACCTAAGAGGAAGGTGGAGGTAGAAATTATCCTGGGAGAGATAAGTTTATTCAACAAATGACTACAAAAACTCAACAAAATTTCTTTTTCGTTGTAATAGTTAATCATGTTTTAATGACAATAAAATACAACTTTGATTCACCCGACTCAGATTCTGCATGTTAGCACTGCTGACAGTGAGATGGATACATGCCTGCGATGAACATCTTAATAACCTAAAATGCCCAAGAGAGAACTCTCTCACCCATATTCCTCTATGCACTCATCAAATAACATGCCAAGCCAGAAGTGACGGAATATATTTTTTTGATGTTACTTTAATGGCTGTTATCAACTTATCTTCATTTTATGTTATCTAATTATTATTTGCAGAGTAGTTGAATACTTAATGCATAGTATTTGGTAACCATTTAATCTATGTGCAGTATCTCACGGGAAGGGATAAATCAGTTTGATATTACTATCAAGTTATAAAATTCACTATATTCAAGTTTTGGGTAACTAATCTTCCCAACAAATATTCAAAGAACCTAAGAACTAATTAAAAAAAAAACAGTAGTCTGAATTTGAGCCTACTGAAGAAAAAATACTGCATCAACTCTGCAAGGATAGTAGGAAGGAAACTTACCTACAATACTAATTAACACAGTCTTAAAGCATTGTTAAATGCCTAACCTCCAAGGCATTTTAAAAAGCAAGAGTATATGCAACAACCCAGAAATCCAAAGCTAGGAAAGAAGGAAAACTCATTATTTAATTAAAAAAAATGCACACTTAAGACAAAATGAGCACTGGATTTTTCTTAATCTTTTATCTAAAGTGAGCATCCTATCTTTTAGTTGTATTTTTAACCGCAATATTCATATATGTCTACAGTGTACACGTTAACAGTCATACCACACATCCCTTCCAGGCCAACCATCACCACTGTCCAGCTCCTGGACAGTTTTATCATGCAAAAACAAAGCCCATCCCTACAAGCACTCTGTTCCAAACGTCACTTTTCTGCAAAGACCTTGCAACCACTAATGTACTTTCTGTCCCCATGGATTTGCCTTTTCTGGATACTGCAACTAAGCAGAATTGATGTGGCTTTTTATGTCTGGGTTTTTTGACTTAGCATCACGTTTTCAAGGTTCATCCATGGTGTAGCATGTAATTGTACTTCAGTCTTATTTTTCATGATGAATAATCCTTTATGGTTTGCAGTAATTAAGCAAGGCATTTCAATACAGTATTTAGATATGTCACCTGAAACATCTTCAGCCATTCCTGGAGTCCTGTGGGTGGTTGTACAGATGTAATTCGGCGCCGTTGTTGCCCTTGGCCATTGGCTGCTCTCAGGTCCCCAAAAGTGGTTGGTGTTGCTGAACATGGTACAAGTCCAGTGGTACTACCAAAAAGAAATTAAAAAAAAAACAAAGTAGAAGCAAGATAAACATTCACTAAGTATAACAGACTCTGATTTAATAACAATCTAACAAACTTCAAACATTAATCTAATTATTGCTTTTATTTGCTTATTCCATAGAGCAGGGGATATACAAAACCTACTTTCTATTCTTAGAGTTAAGTTTCCTCCCTCCCACATAACCACCTGTTATCATCCCGGCAGTGGTAACTGCATCCAAATGACAAAATCTCCACAGTAAAACTGTAAGATCTATATAAAAATAATGTTAAAAATTTCCTTGGGCTATGCAGGCTGTGCTTCTACAGTCTGGTCTTCGGTGACATAACCAAGTACAGCTAAATTTTCTTTATAACAATGTAGAAATGCTGTTTATATTGTTGGATTTCACTAGGCACATTATTCCTCAGTTTGTTCCAGACATCTTCAACATTATTCATAACATTCATCTATTTCTCTCCAATTTTGTATTGTTACTCATAGAGCATTTCTAGATATCTGACAGGACTTAGTCCTGATCAGAAATGTTATTTATTCAAACATGGTATCTAAAACTTACTATGTACAAGTTAAATGTGTTGATCCACACATTCTCTCTACTTTGCTCCCGACTATCAGCTTCTTACTACCATGCATCCCGGGAGGCAGCAGAGTGATGGCTCCCATGGTTGAGTCCCTGCCACCCAGCTCTAGCCAAAATGCAGGCTCTTTGTGAATCGACAAACGGGAGTTCTATGTATTCCTGTTAAAGTTCTTTTCTTCCCCCCTTGAAAAAAAGGTAGGGTGTGTTTAAAGACTTAAATCTTCATATTATTAACTAATCTGTCCCAAAACATCAAATGTATACCTCAGCAACAGACAGGAACTTCAAATATACAGATACACAAATATGCTGTTTGGTCTAATTTTGCTTTAGTAAGATTGCATATTACAAGGCTAAAAATAAAGCCTATGCCTTTCAGATGTTTTTTCAATGTAAAATCTAAGCAATTAAGGACAAAATTTTATGAAAATATTTTCTATTTTAAAAACTTCGTATTCATTCATTTTAATTGTCTTATAAATAACTAAACGACATAACACTTTCACCCTGGTATTAGCCATATGAACCGATCATCAAAAGAGTAGGGCTGACTGAATCAAAACAACGTGACACTTAACTTTTTATCCAAGAAATAATTTGTCAAGGCTAGAAGGAAAAAGTAAAATGAAGAAAACAGCTTCACTCGTCTCTGTCCCTCTACACCCTCTGGTGGAAGTGCCAAATACAGTAAAATTGTCAAGACAGAGGAGGTGGGGATTGGGAGAACCAGCACACAGAAAAGCACTTTCCGGAGATAGCTTTGTGTTTGCATTTTTCATCCTTCCGTTTTTTAATCTGTATAATTATGCTAACTCCTACGTCTCAACAAGAATGCTTAAAAAATATTTTCCACAACTGAATGGAAAAAAATTTAATCCATTTCTCTGAAAAAAGATTTTTTTTCTTTTGCTTCTTTTTTTTTGGAGGAGATTTAACCTTCAACAATGCTTATAATTAAGAGAACTTATATCTAAGAAATGCAAGTTTTATTGCATCTGATTAAAACAGCTAAAAATATTTTGTGAGAAAAGAAGAAATGCTATTAGTGACCATGAAGTTCTTACAGTTTCTTTGCTATCCTTCTCACTTGAAGAAATAACAATTATGTTTTTAAGAGACCAAAGTAAGCTCTTAAGATACCTTTGTCATTTAAATTTGAAATCACTGCATTTTAAGTAACATCCAAAGCCATTTTTAATTAGCTGGGTAATAGATATTGTGCCTAAGTCAGCCTAATTAGCATGAGATTAGGAAAAGTTTTACACTGATGCAAAATCCAAAAATGATGGACTGAAGCAGAAACAAGACTACAATTGTATTAGTTGTTATGGAAACTATTCTTCTAGTATAGAAATGTTATGTGTTAAAAAAAAAAGAGAGACCTACCGGACCAATAAAAGGGAATGTCTAACACTGATTTCATGAAATTTAGTAATTGTGATATTTATTTCACTGCTAAGGAATCTATCTTCAATCTTACATATATAAATATTCACCCCAGAATAGCTGTTGCTATAGTAACAAAACATATTGGCTCATGTTCATATCTAGAGTACTTTTTAGAATTTTAAAAAAAATTGTGGTTTTCAAATTTTGCTCACTGGAGACATTCTGCGTGTCTTGCTTCCACATTTCAGTGATAAAATACAAACTGTAGTGGGTGGTCCTTTAATTTTCTTTAAAATAATGTATTCCTCAATTATGTGTAAACCAGTCAATGGTACTCGTAACATTCTATTCTATGAGAATAACCAAAAGAAATGCTTCCAGAATCAACTCCCCCAGAAGCACAAGCATCCCGACAGCATCAATCCATTCCATATTACCTTGTATATTCTGAAACTTTGCATGGTTTCTTTCCCAGTGAAAAAGAACGAACCTCAGAACCATGGTCCAACTTTCTTTTCATCTATAAGATACAGGAAAAACAAAAAAAGATACTTAAAAATATATCTACAATGGTAATTAAGCAGTTAATTAATTCATACAGAAAATGAGTGTTTCATAACTTCTATTTTTTTCACTTTGTTTTACTCTTAATAAACTGTAAGGAGTAATAGCTTTACAGAAGAACAGTATACTGTGATTAGAAAATTTGTATTCATCATATATATTCCTTGAGAGTATTATACCTATTGACTAGTCCAGTTGAAAGACGAGTATGACGAAAAATCTCGTATTAATCCATGCAGAAGAGTATGCAACATGCCTTTCACCCATCTTCCTTTTTTTTTATATTAAAGTATGTTTTAAGAAAGGTAAACAAAATTCAAAACTTTAAAATCAAACATGGGTAGAAGTAACTAACTGAATTTTAAGTCCCAGCATCACAAAAAGATAAGTAGTGCAAATAAGCTAATCTTGAACAGTGATCATAATAAGGTACAGGGTAATTAATAAGTGATACAAAAAAATAAACTCATAATGAACAGAAAAACTAGAGATGGAAAAATAAAGCTGGGGGCTTGTTCACTGATTTATATGCACACTGAACATAGTTCTACCGGACAGATACTAATTTTAGGACAAATATTATAACTTGAAAAACAGCAATACAAAAAAATTTTTGAAGAGAACAAGTCATGCCTTACAACCACACTTGCAGTTTCAGCTCTCTCATTCCGCCATGCTACAACAGAAATATATTAGAAATATGTTTTGTCAACACTGACACAGCAATACTTATTTATTTAATTTATTCCACGATCAGTTAACGGAGGCCATCCGGCTGCATGTTTACTTTGAAACTAGAAAATAAGATCTGGTAAGATGCAACTTTTTCCACTTCAACAATCCTTTTCAGATCTGCATGCACTAATTAGTTACTGTAGAATTGAGCGTTAGACTGGGGTGGGGGGGAATCTGGAATGACAGATAGGTTTTCTCATTTTTTTAATAAGCTGGGAACCTGTGCTTTGCAGCAGCCTTATTTTTCTACCTATCGGCTCACATGGGAACACTGTAACACAGCATGATACAATATAAATGCTGGAGAGAAGCAAAGGGACCCCAAGCATCTTTCTGAACAACCCTGGATAGGGACTGTCTCTACCATCAGGCATAATCCCAGATACCAGGGGCTAGAGAGGAGGGAACAAGCAGCTCATTTACAAGGTCCACCTGAGTTCCAGGAATACCTATTGGGAAGAAATGAAATTGGTCTGAATTCTTCTCTTCAGAAGTTTCTGTTCTCATATTACAGGGTTTTAAAGTGATTATTCTCAAAATCATAATTTTACTTCTCCAGACATTCTGAGTAAAAAGGAAACACGAATATAAAAGCTGTAATATGCAGCTGGCCACGTGCTTCCATGTATGTAGTTTACCTACCCCCCCCACACACAAGTGAATCCATCACGAAGGTCAGTCAGTACAGACTACCTTAAAATCAAGTTTTCTGATAACTTTCCCAGGTTATCTATTCACTCAAATTAAGTTGGTAATACTGGCTTTCAGAACTTCCCAAGATATCTTATAAATACATTGCTGTAAATGCCATCTGCCAATAACAGCAAACTTTATTTTCATCTTAGAAATCCTCCAATGACTCAAATTGCCCAACATGTATTAACAAGGAAACCACTGAAAAGGGATTTTATTTTTACAGTATTTTATGAAGCACCTTCTCTATTACTACAGAAGTCTTATAGATACTGAACTGTTCATGAAAATACTGAGTTTAGAACCAAAAAATAATTCGGCTTTTTTTTTTTTTTGCAGGCACAGAAAGTACATACAGCTTCCTCCATATAAATCCTAAATATTCAATAGATTTTATACTTTTAAGAGGCAGCTAATGAGAAAAAGGAAAAAAAAAAAACTCATACATATGGTATAGAGAAACTGAAGGCAAGAGGCTCACTAAACGGCAAGTAAGGATGGAGTATTTCCAGGTCAGCATTTAACGAAGCCACATTTCTAAAGTCAATACATTTTCAGTGAAAAATTCACATTTTAAATCCAAAGCTCTTTCCAGCTCACACTGTCTTTCAATTATTTGCTTACATTCATGATATAAAACAGAATACCAGACATCCAGCCACCCACCAAAATCAGAGGATACTGCAGCCATCTCTGACGATTCAGATTTTCCTTCTCAGGCAGGCACACACACGCACGCACACACAACCACACAGCATAGGAAGAAAACAGCTTACTTACTTTGTAAAAAATCATTTTTAATGTGCCGTAGAAACCCATATTTTCTGTATTTTTCCCCTTCAGTGGGTCCGTGCCCCCGTGCGTCCGGCTGCTTGGCACTCTCTGACAGTATAAACCTTTTTCAGGTAGGTATGTCACAGATTCTAATGTGGACATGCTCAGGCACGTCAGAAAAGGAAGATTAGGGAGCAGAACCGGCAGCAAAACTCCACAGTAAAGGCAAAGGCAGCTCAGCAGCAAACCGCTCCTCGGGACACACATACATGCATGCAGCTTGACTGAGGAGAACTCGAGGGAATAATGAGAGAGAACGGAGAAGATTATTGGAGGAGACTGTGCCCTGTCAAAGCCTTGACTGAACAGATTCCTCCCTCAGCAGCAGAGGGATCAGATTACATCTTCCCTTGAACACAGAATGGTGCAGTCCAGGATTCAGCAATGCAGACTGCACATCAATTATATGGTGATCCGCTCCAGGGAACCCGTAAGCACACAACGCACTCAACACAGGCAGGATGTGGGCAGCAAATCAGACTGCCCCCGCACCGGCAGCCCCCACTCCCCCTGCAAACTTTCAGGAAATTATTTTTGCATTTTGTAAAATGTGTTTTTTTTTTGAAGAGTTTTAAATAGCAAGCAACAGTACCACAAATAAGTCCTTTCAGAAGCATTTTGAAAATGCAATATATTATTTAACGTACAGTCCCCTCCAACCCAAACACAGCAAGCTATCTGCACGAACTGTCCCCCTACTGTAGTTCTGGTGCAGGCTGCTCAGCTTTGGCAAGTAGCTTGTGTAGTACAAAACGGGCATTCCCCAAAGGGGAAATTGAATATTCTTTGGGGGAACTGACAGGGAAGCCAGACTGGACCATACAGTAATTATAAAAATTATGTAATATATAACATTGCAACCTGCACATTTCTTGCAGTATCATCTGATGGAAATACTGCCCATGCTTTTCTGTTTTACTCTTTTAAAACGCAGCTTTCAAGAAAACCACCACATACTTCCCCAGTCCACAGTAATGATGAGACCTTTTGAAGGTAAAAAAAAAAAAAAACCCAAAACCAAAAACAAACAAACAAACAAAAACAACCAAAAAAACCTAGCAATACCTAAATGTATGGAGCCCTTGTTTGCTCATTTAATCATGAGTAAGGAGGAGATACTGGTCTTCTTCCTCCAAAATTATCTCGATAACATATTATTTATCATTAGAGGCACTTAACAGAATAGGAAAGGTACCAAAGTTTGCCTGAAGGCAACATTTTTCCGAGAATGACTACCACACAAATCTTGATATTTCATCTTGCAACTTGCCACATAACTGGCTTTGGGGGCAATTATAAGATTCCTTGGGCTGAAAAGACTCATTTATTAAGGGTCTAGTTAATTAACTCCTACCCTTCCCATTATAGTTACTACAAATAAACAGAGTGCCTACAGTTATTTAAAGCACTTACGAACTTTCATCAGAAAAAAAAAAATTATTTGAACTTACTACATTTTAATACTCTGTGCCATGGTGGTAAATGCCTTTGTTCAGTAAAATGATTCCAAATACTGCATGAAACAGTATCATGATGATTAAAAAAAAGGTGTGCCTTTATAACTAAGATGTTAAGTAAATGCAATGTGTTTTCATATAAAATAAATGTAAACAAAAATAAGACAATGTGAAATTCCTGAGTCTCCAGCATGTTGTGTTCTACTGTCTATTCTCTTTTAAATCACCAACTACCTCTCTTAAATTAATCCTTTCTCTCAAAAACAGTACCTACAGATTTCTTTTTTCTTTAGCTCACTTCAAAAGGAAGTTCTTTTTCAACTGAAATCTCTTACTCAACTCAAAAAAGCTGATGCTCTGGAATGGACTCATATATTTTTTTTTTTAATTTGAGGCTTCAGAACACTCATGGTTTAGCAAAGAAAAAAAGAAATTTATCCTTCCCGCTCTGAGCTATTTGAAGAGTAGTAAAGCAAACACCTGAAACTTCCCCCTGAGTTTGTCAGTAATAACTAGCTTGTCACAGGACAAGTCAAATGCTAGTGACGTAGAATATATTTTGACTTCAACTAAAATCATGCCTTATACTTCTAGCCAGTCTAACCTTTGCAAATTAGGCTACTCAAGCTCGCTTCAGCAGCACACACACAAAAACTGGAATGATACAGAGATTAGCATGGCCCCTGTGCAAGGATGACACACAAGTAAGGCCATGCAGGTAAGACCCAAAAACAAGTTCAATAAGGTAGAAGCTACTGTCTCAAACCCTAACATAGAAGATGAAGACCTCTCTTGATTATGTGGCTACAGTGAATGGCTACAAAACTACAAGGAAATCTGTTCTCCATAAGTGTTGCCTTATGTAGTTATTCCCAATCATGCTTTCTTTTTGAACAGGTGACATATCTACATGGTTGAAAAGTCAAAGCCGTGCACAAGAAATCTTCACACTACCATGGCTCCCACTTTGATGGGTTTTATTAATTTGTCTATCCATTTAGTTAGAAGAACATAGTGTATGTTTGTAAGTACTAATAATGACTTCATGACTCGTTCTCTCCAATATCTTGTTTAAGATGTCATTCTGAACTGTGGAGAATTTGCCAAAGAACACCAGTCAAGGAAGTCTGTAGTCAGATTTCAAATTATAAAATAAAAAAAAAATTTTCGTGTTTTCAACATTCTCTGAAGAATTGTTGATGAAAATTATGATTATATTATGGTCAACATAATCTCT